TGAAGAGAAGGCAGATTTTGCATACTCGTAAACAGCTCGAGTGAAGCTAGGCTAGTCGTGAAGGCAGAGTTGAAAGTCAGGGCAACATTGCCTGCCTGGTAGTGAAGCTAGGCTAGTCGTGAAGGCAGAAATGAAAGTCAGGGCAACATTGCCTGACAGGTAATGTAACAGTAATAGTAATATTGTCCAGTTGTTTAAGAGGTCTGACCTCTCCGTGTTGAGCTATACAGTATAACACGGATAGGTCGAACACAGCAGACAGGAAATCACGCATCCGTCAAACTGTGCCTGTGGTCCTGTTTTTGTTTTCTTCTTCATATTTGTAAGATATCCCTCGAACTACCGAGGCCGGTCGCGATGAATTCAAGCTATCCGTGTTATACTGTAATTCCCATTCGTGAGGCGCGCTGACAAAATGAGTTACTTCTCGCAATCAACAAATGGGGACATTGGCCAAAAATCGACATTAGGGTCAGATTTGTAGATTTTTCTATTGACGCCATAGTCTTTAACTGTAACCTGTCTTTTATTATTTCATACTTATAAATTGTAAAAATTTCCACCTACAAGCCTGAGGTATCTATTTCCTTAATAGGGTTGAATCCCAGACGTAACTCATTTTGTCAGCACACTTCACTTTTTTTCTCCAAAAGAACACAAGCGAGAAAATCTTCCCACGCTCACAGAAATGTGAGTGAAAAACACAACTGGGGACTCAAACCTGGGTGGCCCACAGCACAGTCATTCAGCACGACCTTAACATAATATGACACGATTGGAACAACAAAGTTCACGTTTTCTTCTGCACCATGTCGCTTTACAGAGGACATTGTTATATCGAAGGTCGTTATAGAGAGGCTGCACTGTATTGCATAATATGATATATACATATATGTGAGGTAGCGTGGTGGAATCAGGCTCTCGTCAAAATAATCAAAATTAAGAAACATGCATTTTTCCGCAGATTTGTGAATTTTATCAATTTTTTTTTTGGGCTCAACACTTTTCATGCCCATGAAAGAACTCATTTCTGTGTGGACTTTTCTTTAAAATGTTGATTAAAGGAACAAAAAATGTAAATTTTCAGTTACCACGGGCTCTTAAGCTAATGAAATAACTAATCTTTGGAGGCCATTTTCTCATTAATTTTACCTCTGAAAACAGGTGACCCCCACCTCCTTCATTCGCAAATATCTCGACTTGTATTCAAGATAAGTGGATATTATTTTCATTCAAATAAAGACAAATGAACAAGCTTTAAGATATATATATATATATATATATATATATATATATATATATATATATATATATATATATATATATATATATATATATATATATATATATATATATATATATATATGGTATTCCAAAGTAACTACATGTAAATCATGCATACATTACACATCACATACTTCTACAACATCAGGATAAATAGAATAAACTATGCCATAATATACGTGTAAATAACTATACCATTATATACGTGTAAATAATATGGTTTTTTCATACTTTTGCACAACAATTAATAATAGTCACAATCATAATATATATAATGGGAATATACTTCCAATGACAAAAACAAGAAAAATCAACATTCTGGATCACTAACGCAACATGCAACAGAAGAATACTGTGGAAAACACAACACTACACATATATGTGAGGCGTGCTGACAAAATGAGTTACTTTTCGCAATCCACAATCGGGCATACTGGCCAAAAATAGACACTAGGGTCAAATTTGTAGATGATTAATTGATGCCATGTTCTTTAAGTATAACATACCACGGGCAGTATTGCATAAAGACGTATCTCAAAGGCCGCCAAAAATGACTTACGTCTGTATGCAATACTGCCCGCGATACATGCCTTTTACTTTTATTATTTCATACTTAAAAATTGTAAAAACGTCATCTAGATCTATAAGATAAGCGTGATGTATCTAATTTCCTTGAGGCCTGAATCCGAGAAATTAACTCATTTTGTCAGGAAGCTTCATGTATTTAGAAACACAGGCTTGTCAACTTTTCCTAAACCCAGTCAAGAACTGCCAACGTGAAAACATACGATTACGTAACAAACAAACAAACAAACAACATTACGCCAAAAGCCAAATGGGGGACAGGTTTCAGCGTAGTGTATGAGCGTATGTGACAAAGATCTCAAATTCCCGATGGCCAAATCCCGGAGAGGCCTGGAAAATCGGGGACACTTGACAAGCCTGAAAATTACATAATGACTATAATACGTTTTTCAAACAGGGAAAATTATCCTAAAAAAAAAAAAGAAAAAAAAAAGAGTTCAGCAGCACATTTCTACAATTGACAAGACACAAGAATCTTTGGTTTCGCTCTTTCTTTTTCTTTTCACACATCAGCAGTGCATACAAGGTATAGGCTACAAGAGACACATGCCTTTGCTGAATGTTATAACATTTTTATATTTGTATATATATATATATGTGTGGGTATATAAATATCCAGCTAAATTGGAATGTTGCCAGAGTCAGGCACTATATATATATAACGGTGAAGGCCGGGTGCACAAACTACACAGAGTATAGACAGGTTCATCAGTAACACAACCGTGACTAGCACAGGTTCACAGAATTGTGATAAGTTCATCTATAGAATTGTGATCAGTTCATATCTGTAACAATTGTAATAGGTTCCTCTATAGAATTGAGATCAGTTCATCTATAGAATTGTGGTAGGTTCATCTTCATCTATAGAATTGCGACAGATTCATCTTCATCTATAGAATTGTGATAGGTTCATCTATAGCATCTATAGAATTGTGATAAGTTCGTCTATATCAGAATTGTTATTGGCCGATGGTCACAGAGTTGCAATTGACCAAAGTACATAGAATTAGAATTGTGAATGGTCGAAGAAAACAAACTTGTGGTTGGCCGAAGTAGACAAACATGTGATTTCCGATGTACACAGAATTGTGATTGGCTGATGAGGCAGAATTCCATCTCTGTTAAATGGCACATAACTATGACTGGCCATCTTCTCCATGCAGAAACTAGATAGAAGTGAAAACTGCATAATGTGAGTAACATGGAATAAAAGGAATCTTTGTACGTAATGAATCTAAAGCCAGTATATCGATAACATCTAAGCATGCAATAAGTAAAAAAAAAAACATCTTTGAAATTACATCAGTAAATAAGAACTGTTGACAAAACATCATAATAACTGTAGGTCTATATGGTCACTTTTAAGGACAAGCGGGCTAACCCAGATTTCGGGGGTTTCCAGAAATCTTGACCTACAACAAAAGTGGGCATTGCCCTACCTATAGGAGAAGTTTGGTTTCATTGATATGTGTATTTGTTTGGTTACAGAAAAAACTCTCCTTGTCTTTTAAAGAAACTGAACACGGGTCCAAAATCTTTATCTTCGATTTTCTCAAAACAGCATTTTTCGGGAATGCCCTCTTGTGCTTAAAAGCAACCATAATATACACACACAGCTTTAGGGTTTTTCAACATCCCTGACCACACATAAACGTCACTTGACCGCCCACCGATGATATTTTTTATACAAATCTTTCTGCTATTTTTCATCCATCACAACACAGCAACCTGAGATATTCATGATATAGACAACACGTGTTATAATGTCTGCCAGCAGATACAATGTACTTCGTCCAAACTTGTGGATTATCTTCCGCGTATTGCAGTATTTCTTCTTACTCTCTGGTATCGGATATATATGTGCTGAAGAAATATTTGGTCAAAATTCAAAATTTTAAAAGCTGAAAAAAAAAAGGTAGAAAAACTAAATGAAGTTGGTGCATTTGTTTTTTAAAAGATGTTTTGTTTTTTTTCTCTCTCTCTCTCTCTCTCAGGTAAAATTTGGTTGTTTTTTTTGGACTTAGTACATTGAACAGCTGGAGGACAATAAGTACTACACATTATATAACAAACATTATATATAGCTTGTACACTTTGGTGTCTGCGGTGACAATGTTCAAGCTGATAATTTATTGATTTACTAGTGCATGGAAGAAGAAGAAGAATAGGAGCAGAAGAAGAAGAAGAAGAAGAAGAAAAAGAAGAAGAAGAAGAAGAAGAAGAAGAAGAAGAAGAAGAAGAAGAAGAAGAAAAAGAAGAAAAAAAAAAGAAGAAGCAGAAGAAGAACATGAAGAAGAAGATGAAGAACAAGAAGAAGAATACAACAAAAGTGATAACAATTGCATTTATATCGCGCATAACCACGCTCTAAAACATGCTCTTTACAACACCTGATAAAATATGGCTTCAAAAAGTAAGGTGAAGTAATATCTTTACAGTTCACAAAGTCCACCTCAAACGATTGTCGAGGGCTCATTTGCATTTATATATATATGTAAATATAGAAAGGCACGGGTCACAGCAGATGGGAAAGGTGGAAGAGAAACAAGGACGACAGATGTTTGACAGGGAAGAAGGAAGAGAAATAAGAACAATAGACTGTAAGGAAAGAAAGAAGAGAAATAAGGACAATAGATGTTTGTAAGGAAAGAAGGAAGAGAAACAAGGACAATAGATGTTTTTAAGGAAAGAAGGAAGAGAAACAAGGACAATAGACATTTGACAGGGAAGAAGGAAGAGAAATAAGAACAATAGACATTTGTAAGGAAAGAAGGAAGAGAAATAAGAACAATAGACATTTGTAAGGAAAGAAGGAAGAGAAATAAGAACAATAGACATTTGTAAGGAAAGAAGGAAGAGAAATAAGAACAATAGATATTTGTAAGGGAAGAAGGAAGAGAAATAACAACAATAGACTGTAAGGGAAGAAGGAAGAGAAATAAGGACAATAGATATTTGTTGGAAAAGAAGGAAGAGAAACAAGGACGATAAACGTTTGTAAGGAAAGAAGGAGGAGAAACAAGGATATTAGATGTTTGACAGGAAAGAAGAAGGAAGAGAAATAAGGACGATAAACTTTTGTTGAGAAAGAAGGAAGAGAAACGAGGAAGATAGACGACTGCTAGGAAAGAAGGAAGAGAAACAAGGACGATAGATGTTCGTTCGGAAAGAAGGAACAAACCACACCACAGCACCCCGCCAAATCTTGACATAGGAGTCAAATTTGTAGACTTACAACAGATGCCACTTTCTCCAAGTTTAACATTTCTAACGTTTCTTATGACTAAATCGTAAAAACTATTAACTTTGATGTATTGCTCTCCTTAGAGATAAAATCCGAGAAATAACTCGTTTACTCAGTTCGCCTCACAATTTCTCAAACCATGACAAGTGGTACGTGCCACAGACCACTGCCGTCAACAATCCCAGTCTGACTTAGGATCTGTCTTAGGATCAACGACCCCTGTCTGTCTTAGGATCAACGACCCCTGTCTGTCTTAGGGTCAACGACCCCGGTATGTCTCAGGTCACCAACCTCCATCTGTCTCAAATCATCTGAAAGCATCTGTCTCTGGTCATCTACGCGTGTCTGTCTTTGGTCATCTGTACGCGTCTGTCTCGGTCTCAAATCATCAGGACGTGTCTATTTCAGGTCTACAACCTCCATCTGTCTCAGATCATCTTGAAGCATCTGTCTCAAATTATCTGGACGCATCTGTCTTCATCTTCGCTCGCAGCAAGTTTAGGTTGTCGATGGCCGTCTGGTGGTCAGGCTGAAGGGCCAGGGACTTGTGGTACGCGACCTCCGCCTCCTTCAGCTTGCCCCACCGGTGGTACAGCACGCCTGTAGATAAACACACACACACATACATGAGGAGGGTGCAGTACGCCTGTAGATAAACACACACATACATGAGGGTGGTACAGTACGCCTGTAGATAAACACACACATACATGAGGGTGGTACAGCACGCCTGTAGATAAACAAACATACACCAATGTGGCACTACCAACACAGTTCTAGATAAACACACATACACCAATGTGGTACTACCAACACAGTTCTCGATAAACACACACATACATGAGGGTGATACAGCACGCCTGTAGATAAACACATATACACCAATGGTACTACCAACACAGTTCTAGATAAACACACACACACACACACACATACACACACACACATACAGCAGGGTGGTAAAACTCAAAAAAACAAACAAGAACCCCCCCCAAAAAAAACAAAAAAACCCAAAACAAAACAGTAATTAAATTAGAAGCACCATCATTTCTTGTCTGATCCCACCCCATCAGCTTTCCCCACATAGGACATACAGCCAGTCGCGACCTCAGTGCTTACATTACATGTCGTATCTCCATTTTTTTAAAACAGTGAAAATGTGATATTTTCTTAACCTTATCCTTAGGGGGCCTACACCCTGGGGTCATTTTGTATCCCCAGGGTTGTATTCTTCACATTTTAGAATACTTCGAGTACGATGATCTCTCTGAAACTTTCAGTACTTCTCAAAAAATCATTTTGACAGACTGCTATGCAAAGCCAACGGATCAGATTAATGAGTAAATTTCCTCTTTGGAAAGTGGTGGCACAGACTTTCCTACATCATATGGATATAAGAGTAAAACAAGACGTACGGATAGGGCTAAGCTCACTCTTTGTTATGAACTGTTTTCACAGTTATTTTTAAAAAATGGAGATACGACAAGAAAGCTCTGGGGTCGCGCAGTGCCGCAGGCTGTTACACCCAAACAAAAATCTCACCCAGATTCAGGTGGTAGTTGGCGTTGTTTGGGTCCATCCTGAGGATGGCCAGGTACCACTTCTCTCCCTGCGCATAGTCGCCCTTTTTGCCGTAGACGTTTGCCAGGCTGTACATGAGCGACGGGTGCTCGGGGAGGATCTTCAAGGCCGCCTGAGCCATCGTGATAGCCTTGTCGTACAGATCTGGAAACATGATTTTGTCAGTGCTTGTTTCGTTTTTTGGGGGGTTTTGGGGTTTTTTTGGTCTGTTTTTTAAAATTTTATTTATGCATGTCTTTACACCCCAATCGACATAATTTGGGGGCATTAATTTGGTGAAGAAATCATAATAATAATACAAATACTAATACTACTACTAATTATGATAATACTAATGGTAATATTAAGAAAAATAATAACAATAATAATACTAATACTACTACTGATAGTAATACTAAGAATAATAACACTAATAATAATAATAACAATAACAAACAAACAATAACAAAAACTACTACTACTAGTAATAGTTAAAATAATAATAATAATAATGATAATAATAATAATAACAATAAAAAGCATTTATACAGTGAATACCCTTTCAGCAGTAGGCTCTATGCACTTTAATTTTTTTTAAAGTCTTAAGGACATATTTCATGTTGTTTTTGGGGGTGTTTTCAAGATAACTGTTGATACCATAGCAACTGTGGAAAGAAGTTCTTAACCTAAACGGAATAGACCTCTGTAGTGAAAGAGCGTTTAATCAGCTGCTTGCACTGTATGCTTCCCAGGAAGTTGAGAATGTTTCTGAGTGTTCTATGGTCTGCTGGGGTAACGATACAGTGCCTGCAAAGCACTTAGAGCTTGCTGTCTAGAGGAGATATGTGCTATAAAAATGCCATTTATTATCATTACTAAGAGTTAATTGTCTTTCAGTTTGGTAAAAGTTTTTCCCCCCGTTTGCAGCAGTTACTTCTGATGCAGGTGTTTAGTTTGGTTTTTATTCACATCCCCATTGGCATAAGTTAGATTATAAACACTTACAGTACCGTCGGTGACTTTAGTTTAGTTTTAGTAGAGGTTTTACGACACTCTCAACTGCATAAGGTCCCACAAGGTGTTACAAGAGAGAAACAAACATAAAAAAAAGAAGGAGGGGAGATAAGGACAACAGATGTTTGATAGGAAAGAAGAAGCAAACCACACCAGAGCACCCGCCAACCACCCACGTCGGTGATTTTAGTCGCCAGGCTGTAGTATGTGCTCACTACCGCTGGCGACTTTAGTCGCTGACGCCACCAGGCACACCAAACATAATTAAACAACGAATGGACGCACTGCACTGAAGTAAATACCAAAGGAAGCCACACTCTATATATGATAGCTGAATGGTTGAAGAGCCTCTCTGAATATTTTAAGTGCATTTCTTGGGCTGCCAAGCTTCTTTAATTTAAATAAAATTCTACCACGGTTTCAGTGTTCTAAACTGGTGCAGTACCCAAGGGTTTTTCACTATATGTGAAGCGTGCTGACAAAATGAGTTACTTCTCGCAATCCACAAATGGATATATTGGCCAAAATCGACACCACAGTCAAATTTGTAGATTTTGTATTGATGCCATATCGCTGGTGGAGTGATGAAACCTCGTAACCCTCAATTTTTTTGAAAATCGTTTTTTTGCCTAAATGTTTTCTCCCAGTCCTTCTTCACATTGTGTCAAAAGCACTAGGTTAAATTATGAAGAGAAAGTATGAAAAAACCTTACTAAAAAAACCTCGTATGTTTGCCCCTATGATATCCTGGCGTGATGAAACCTCGCAACCCTCACCTGGAGCGCCGATCTGCTTTTGCGTGGTTTCATCACTCCCGGTTTGAGAGAGCGACTTGCTTATACGAGGTTCTGGATAAGCCTTCTTTATGAATTGACTTAATGGAAGCGCCCATAATTGATATTTTCTGGTGCATTTCATATTCCTGACTTAATAAAGAAATGCTTCATTCATTCATTCATTCATTCATTCATTCATGCATTTATTCATTCATTCATTCATTCTTTTATTCATCCATTTTATTCCAGTCTGTTCAGAAATTCAAATATGATCATAAGTGAAGGAGTTACATTAGGTAAATCTATTTGAAATCCTGTTAAAGGGATGATAACGTATTGGTAAACAGGATGTTCTCATCAAGCACAAACGTAGTTAACATTTAATTTAAGGCAACAGTCACACCTTGAAAAGACAGGTGACAATAGTCCTTACTAAGAAAGTGACAAGTCTATGCACTCTCCAGATGTCACCTGGCCATTTTGTTTATCAAAGAGAGGGAAGGTTTCACCCCTTCTCAGACTATGAATCCGCTGATTAGCCGAATCTTTCAGTCGTGGTTGAGACCAAATAGTACTGAACCTACCCATGTTCTTCTTGACCCTAAAGTCTATGGAGGACATTGTGATAAATGTGTGCCTCAACAATACAAGGGATATGGACATTTATGCATCTGTTTTGAATATCTAACCCCAACTGTGCTCGCATCATCTAGATTTTTACACCATCCAAGGGCTGGTTTGGAAACCACTGAGCAGACCCCGTTCCATGAATTGACTCCAGCTACCATTTCGAAGTCCTTTCCAGGGATGTGTCTTATATATGTGGGAGGAAGGAAGCATCATCCGGGACTGAGTCTGCACCAACACCAGTGTCGCCTGGAATCACGCCCCAAACCATACTGACGTTTCACCAGTCAGCTGTAAGTCAGCTGCTGAATTATTACCTGCGGAGTCACAGCAACACGATCTGCAAACTACATTCCTAGGTCCATCTCACCTTCAGGCACCTTAGCCACTTTTCCTGAAGCCTGATCCAGAAACACAGCTCATTTGGGATGCCACAGAGGAAAATAAAGGGTTTTCAGGGGTGGCAACAGATAAGCGAAGGCCATCCGTGGATCTGGTCAGGAATACCATAATGATTAAATTGAAAAGCCCAGCTACGTCACTGAAACCAAACTGTGATTGCAAGAGCTGAACTGTAAAGGGAAAAGGGCTCTCGAGGAAGACAGACACATTAATTTTGATTTAGTGTGGTCCTCTCATGGGATGAAAAAAAATGTCTCTTTATTGGACTAGTGGACATAGACCAACCTCAGAGGAGGCATTAAAAAACTAACCAGATAGAGCATAGCTTCAAATACACATTTAACATGGTGGTCATAAAGTGCCAGTGTGTAAAAAGATGTTCCTGCATTCAACTAGGTCGAGTGAATGATTTGTAAGAAACATTTAGAACCAGTTATCAAAGGTACTCAGATATCTACAAAATGCATACACAATTCTGCCAAGACCACGGGAGGTAGCCTCTCAACAGGCACCCCCCCCAATCAATGAAACAATCAGGAAGAATAGCCTGTCTTGTTCATGCCAAAGAAAGATAGGTGCGACCTTTGCATTTTCCGTGAAATTGGCAACGTGCGGATGATGTTTAGAATGCTCACACTCTAGAAAAGGGGCAGCGGGCAAGGAAAAGGAACGAGACAAATCTGAAGCCATCAAATATCTCGCCAGTGATGAACCTAAAACGGCCCATGTTTTCTATGGATCTTCAGCTTGTGGTCCTTACACTTACACTCACCCAAACTGAATGCATCAGCCTTATATTACAAAACAAAGCGTGTCGTTCATAACTTTACGATTTTGAAGCTGCAACACATCAGACTACTTGTTACGTGTGGCATGAAGCAGAAGGGGGAATTAGCAAATGAGTTTGCTTCATGTCCACTGGCTTTCTTGAAGGAAAATCTGTACTTCCAGAAAACCATCATCGACAGCGACTGCTGTGGTTACCAATACAGAAATGCCACACTAGCCGATGTTTCTCTCAGCCTGTTTGCAACAACACATGGTAGCACAATTGAACAGAAATGGTTGATCAAAGGACACACAAATGTAAGTTGACTGTGCACTCAACTATTGAAAGATCGTTCGAAAAGCACGAATCGAGGTCGACCTACACTACCTCCATTTCTCCAAGATGGCCAGAGAAAAACCAGACAAATATTTGGACCACACATTATTCTAAGTGAAGAAGCTACAAGTCTATCAGACCAGGAAGAAAAACAGGTGATCCTGTCGCCACCGACATCAGGCGTTTGAAGTACACCCCAGACATGAACATCCAGTTCAAGCTGCACTTCAGTGATGATGGCCATCCAGCTACACCACTGAACACAGAACGTCTTAAAATCCAGCACTCCCAAGTATAATCACCTGTAGGAGCTTCAATCTGTTATTTCCAATATACGTCATCACGTTATAACAGTTTACCCCCTTATCATTAATAGCTATTCATTATGGGGGGGGGGGGGGTAATTCCCAGACATCGTACTGATCTTTTTGGGGGGTTTTGTCCGCACGTACGTTATGTATTTTCATAAAATTAACCCAATTAGTATTCATGACCCACCACCTTTTATTTGATTGAAGTCCTCCATTCGTTTTTCAAAGCATTTTGTGTTGGGCGTTTGTGTGTGTGTGTGTGTGTGTGTGCGTGTGTGTGTGTGTGTGTGTGTTACATTGTTTTCTTAATAGGTCTATATTTTGATCTAGATCTATTTCTTTCCATTGTGAAAGCCATCTGTAGTGCAACCAGAGACCATATTGCAGAGATATACTATTCATTTGTGCTTTTAAAAAAAAATGGAAGTAACCAGATCTAATCCTGGAAAATTATATTGAAACAAATTGCAAAAATCGCTGATCCGTGGTTTCAAACCCAAATTCAGCAGATAACACTATTAACACACATTTATTTGACTTCAGTTGGCCGGGAATCCAACTCTCGTTTTGAGTCTAAACTAATTGATCTTGAAGAAACATCTTCATCACTTTGTGGCGTTCCAAACAACAGATGCATACTGCAACCAAATGAGCAGCGAGAAAACTCGCAACCCTCAAACTCTGTCCTGATGAAACCTCGCAACCTTCCCGCCGGCTGACTACGAGGTTTCATCACGACAAGAATGTTGTAATGAAACCTCGTATCCCACAGCGTAACCATTTAAACAGTAGAAAAGTTATTTTTATGTACTAACCACGTTTCTAAGGTGTTTTCATTTATCTGTACCGACTTTGGTTCATATAGATCATTTTGTTGACGAGTAAATCAGTTTTTTGCCTCTCCTGTAAAATTTTCCTTTCTGGGGTTGCGAGGTTTCATCACTCCACCAGCGATATACTCTTTAAGTATAAGAGGGCTTTTATTATTTCATATTTATAAGTAGTAAAAACTTCACGTATAAGCGTGCTGTATCTATTTCCATTAAGTAACTCATTTTATCAGCACGCTTGAACTGTAAGTGTTAATGAGGGCCCGGGCTTCCCACTCTGCCTGTCAGGGCTAGCCTGAGCTGAGAGGGATACAACATCCTAGAAGAAAGATCGAAGATACTTGATGAAAATTATATCATTAAAGTGCGAATCAAACTCCCATGCCCGACAGCAAAATGCCTAACCAACCGCTACATCACAGACGTAAGTGTCAGTTCTGGAATATCTTTAGGAAAAAAAAAAAGGAGAAGAAAAAAAGCGAAGGCAGGGCAATCTTTGATGAAAAAAAAAGAAGAAAAGGCAGGGCGAATCTTCGCTAAAAAAAAAAAAAAGCAATGAAGACCAGGCGAATCTTTGTGGGAGGGGGGGGGGGGAAAAAGGGGAAGGTAGGGTGAATCTTTGGAGAAAAACAAAAACAAAAGAGAAGGCAGGGAGAAGCTTTGAAAAAAAAAATGTTAACGGCGAAGGCGAGGAGAATCTTCGAAGAGTTAAAAAACATTTTAATGGCGAAAGCGGGGCGTATCTTTAAAAAAAAAAAGAAGGCAGGGTGAATCTTTGAAAAAACAAAAACCCGGAAAAAAGGGGGGGGAGGAGCAAGGCGACAGCAGGAGGTGGGAACTCACTGAGGTTATCCAGGAGGAGAATTGCGTTGTTCCAGGCGTTCCAGTGGCTGGGACGGAGCATGGTGGCGTTCTGGTAGGCCGTCAGTGCTTCCTGGCTCCTCTGTAACTCCAGGTACTGGTAAAAACACACAGACAGACAGACAGATAGTTAAATAGATAGATTGACAGACAGACAGACAGATAGATAGACAGACAGACAGACACACAGTCAGACATGGTGGCGTTCTAGCAGGCCGTCAGTGCTTCCTGATTCCACTGTAGCTCCAGGTACTGGTAAAAACACACAGACAGACACACAGATAGTTAAATAGATAGATTGACAGACAGACAGACAGATAGATAGACGGACAGACAGACACACAGTCAGACATGGTGGCGTTCTAGCATGCCGTCAGTGCTTCCTGATTCCGCTGTAGCTCCAGGTACTGGCACAGACACACAGACAGACCGACAGTCAGACAGACAGCCAGTTTTAGTTTTAGTAGAGCTTTTAAAGCACTTGCAACACAATAAGGTCATATAAGTGCCAAAGAATAGAGGTTACAAGAGAGTAACAAGCATAAAAAAGGAGGGGAGAAAAGGATGATAGATGTTTGATAGGAAAGAAGAAGAAGACACACAGACAGACAGACAGACAGACAGACCAACAGATAGACAGTCATGGTGGCGCAGACACATGGTACTGGCACAGAGACACAGACAGACCGACAGACAGACCAACAGATAGACAGTCATGGTAGCGCAGACACATGGTACTGGCACAGACACACAGACAGACCGACAGACAGACCAACAGATAGACAGTCATGGTGGCGTTCTGGTAGGCCGTCGGTGCTTCCTGACTCCTCTGTAACTCCAGGTACTGACACAGACACGCAGACAGACAAATAAATAACCAGACAGACAGACAGACAGTCAGACAGTCAGACAGACAGACAGTCAGACAGACACACAGATTGACAGTTTTAGTTTTAGTAGAGCTTTTACGGCGCTCACAACTGTATAAGGTAATAATATATATGAGCACCAAGGGGTGGATTTCAACAGAAAAGTCCAAACGGGGAATCAGACTTACTCTGCTCACCTCTCCATCCTCAACAGAACAAAGTCTTCTTTGACTATCAAAGCACCCCGTAAATAGCAGTTCACAAGAGAGAGACAAACATACAAAAGAGGTAGAGGAAAAATGACGATAGCAAAGATTAGGAAAGAAAAAGCAGCAGTTCCCAGTTGCAGTTCAGGCACAGTTATGAGCATGACATTGATGAATCAGTCCATTTACAATTCTACTGTGTATAAGAACATGTTAACGTCCGCCCTTTGGGAATGGTCTAAAGACACTAAAGTCAGTAGCACCAATAGACTGACAGACAGACAGACAGACAGACAGACAGACAGACAGACAGACAGACAGACAGACAGACAGACAGACAGACAGACAGACAGACAGGG